ATATGAGTCATACCATAACAAATCTCCACCTTGGCGAATATCCAGCCCCTTAGGAGAAAAAGATACCTGAGAGTTACACATGTACCAATGTGGGTTGGGCCACCATGCTTCTGCTGCGCCCACGCTGATCTAAACCCACTAAATTCCAAGAGACACACCTCTTTAATTCCAAGAAACTTCTCTTCATTCTAAGAAACTCCAAATTCTGGTATTATGAGTCATACCTAACAATTTAATCAAACAAAGTTAATTGCTCTGCAAATTAAAGATATCTAATTTTATGCATGATATTTTCATAATTGCATATATGCCCAGGGGTAAAGGCAGTACATATCGATGGTGGAAATGGGTTGGTAATCGTTGAAGGGACAATGGACGTTAATACACTGCCATTGCACCTCAAGGACAAGCTCAAACGCAACGTTGAGGTTTTTCAAATGGAGATTGGCAGCAATAACAGGGAAGGAGAGAATGGGATCCAATTGCTCGCATGTTCTTCTCCTAGCAGGGAAGTAGAGAATGGGATCGCTTGGGCTGGCAGAATTGCCACACAATAGACCCCTGCAACTTTCTCTTCCTTCTATGCGCACTTATAGCGGCGACTATACCTAGCAGGAAAGCAATGACGGGTATGTCTTAGCCTCTTTCTCTGTCCGTCTCTTTCCTGTGCCACAAACGGCACTGCCCTAGCCTCGCTCCAGCGCCTCCCTCCTATTCCATTTCCTCCTTAGAAATCAATACAGCTAAGGCCGGTCTTATTCATTTTACTGTATCTATGAAACACTGCAATTAAATGGTGGTATCTTCGACAGGCAGGGAAAGATTTGAGTTGTATAAAATATGAATATAAAAAATTTAGTTTAGGTGTTAGATATGTTGCATATGTTGGAATTGGGTGCTATAAATAGAGAGATGAACACATAAATTTGGCAATTCACCTCTTTCCTCGTGCAAGGTTTTGTTTTTATCAGATTTTTATATTTGAATTTGCTTGTAACTATGTTTTACAGAGGTGACGACTTTGCATTGAAGAAGCAGTCTCATCATCTGACAACATCTTTATATTAAATATGAAAATTGATGTCATAGATATGTAAAAAATCTTTTATATCAAAGATGCAAAAGTTCCTAAAATATGAATGATGATCTCTCACACGTCACGTATCCCTATGATTCAAATCAAACGGCATACATTAATTCCCTCTTCCCTCCGAAGTTGTCCCTTCCCGATACCACCGCCTATAGTTTTTTTTATTTTACTTTCAAATTTTAATTAATTTTCATACAAACTCACATAACATATAAAATAATATAATGGGTGATTTACTTATTAATTTGCGTATTATGTACATGCATGCCATGCAATAGTTACATACATGTGTGTATCCTCTAATAAATTGGTTCATTTATATTTATCGACCACCCAATTTTTATGTATTTGCATATTTGACTTTCGTAGCTTTGTATATAAAAATATGTTATATATCTAATATATAGGCTTTTATTTATGCGCACTTTAACCTCAAAAATTAATATGGAGCATTGAACCCATCTGCCGAAGTTGATGAACTCAGCTCACCTCTCAAAATAATTACATACTTTTTAAAAATTATAACCTAACATCTATATCGTGTTCTTTAAAGGCTTAGGAAAAGGATTAGCAGATTTTGCGAACAGATATATATTATATTAAAATTTGAATGATGAATTACAAACATGATTAAATTTTAAAAATAATAGATTATTAAAATCATGTTAACCTAAAAAAAACCTGAAATTGATATAAATTTCAAACCGCTTTAGAAATTTCACATTTAAATATAATAAAATCAATTAATTTTGTTTCAGAACATGATCAAATTTTGGTTTTATTTTCTT